CATAAGTGGATATGCGCTATATAAATGCAATCCATTATTATTATTATTATTATATTTTATGCTAAAGTAAAGCATCTGTTCTTTCACTCTCTCTCTCTCTCTCTCTCTCTCTCTCTCTCTCTCTCTCTCTTTCTCTCTCTCTCTCTCTCTTTCTCTCTCTTTCTCTCTCTCCTTCTCTCTCTCTCTCGCACTGCCTTTCTCTCTGTCTCTCTCTCTGTCTCTCTCTCTTTTTCTCTCTCTCTCTCCTTCGCTCTATTGCTCTGTCTCGCTCTGTCTCTCTGTCTCTTTATCTCTCTCTCTCTCTCTCTCTCTCTCTCTCTCTCTTTCTCTCTCTCACCCTCTCTCTCTATCTCTTTCTTTCTTTCTTTCTCTCTTTTTATTCCACAGCACACTAAAACATCACGCAAAAAGTTCATATATTACACCCGAATGTTCGCATTATCAAATATAATTTCTGGATGAAGTCGGTTATCTTGTTGTCTGAATGTAGCTTCATTGCTTTCGTTCAACATATATATCGTCATCTCCGAAAGGAAGTCCAACATTCTGCTGTCCAATTTTGGATTGTCAACGTGGTTAATAGTTTATGCATGTTATAATGTCGTCGGTAAGCTGATTAAATGAACTAAGCCGAACACGATTTTACAGGAGAGAGAAAAACTATTTAATTCTTTTAAGGTTTGTGCTTAATTTCATCTAGCATAACACCCACCAAACCACCAGTGAATTCCATTTGGTTTATGATTCGATCCACCAAAAAGTACCTCATGTCAGAGGGTGATGAAAATGTTATAAAAATATAAGTACAATCAGCTGACAACGCCCAAAAGGAAACAAACCTGAATTCGGTCGCAACTCCCTAAAAGATGAAAAGGAAATCTCTTATCAAGGATCCCAAATCTGCACAGAGAAAAAATAATATCTGAAAACTGGATTCAAAATAAGCAATGCAGGAAACAAACTTAGGATCAGATTCCTCAGAAATTTCTCTTTGGCACACTTATAACTATACGTTCACCTTTCCACACATGGAAACAGCTAGAAAAGGATGCACCGGACAGGCTTCGCTTGAGATGTTGTTGATGGTCTATGCTCCACTGGGAGTTATAAAAGGGCAAGAGAGAGAGAGAGAGAGAGAGAGAGAGAGAGATCCACATCCACCTTTCCCTATGGGAATGACTGGAAGGCTTCTTCTTTCATATTGATGACGACCATAATTGTACGACTTTCCCAGAGCCCCAGATGACCTTGTTCGCGCCGACAGACGAAGCTCTGGCTAAAGTCCCCGCTCAGGACCTGGCTGCCCTCACAGCTGACCCCCAGAAGCTGGCCCAGGTCCTCAGCTACCACGCCGTGGGAGACACAGCCTTTAAGGTCAGGGGAAGGACGAACGACAAAGTCCTGACTGCCGTCTCTGGGCAGCCAGTTAGGGTCAATCTCTATAACATTTTGCACGTGAGTATTTCAAGATTAAATCTTTTTTTTGTTTTTGACATCGTCAGCATAATTTTACAAACATCAGAGTCATTTTTAAAGTTTTGAGAAAACCAAAGAATAAGAGAGCGTCCAAATTAGAACTACGACTTGTGCACGTGATAATTTCATTGAAAACTGGGCAGGAAATAAGGAAACAGAATGATAGCATAGTTTTTCTTTTTATCTGTTTTAATTTTAATGTTCTCACATAGCATAAGCTGATTAAGAAATAGAATATAAGTTTAAAGTGTATAGCTTGGTACATGGAAGTCTTTCCTGTCTCCTTTTACGTTTGCAATAATTTTCCTAATGCCTTTTTTAGGCTCAGATCTTTAACCCCCGCCCCCCCCCCCCCCAATATCTGGCCTTTTTTTCTACTCGCTCCTGACCACCCTCCCCCCCCAAAAAATAAATTTTTTAAAATAAAAAAAATCGCTGGTCGCTGGAGTGTTTCTCGAATTTAAAATATTAGAAAGTCTCCTGTAAGCCCAGGTACAAAGCTTAATCCTCTACCAACTATCTCAATGGGAACTATAACTTAACAGTGACTACTGTTTCATTGAGAAATTCGCCAATGTTCAAAAGACACAATACACTAACCCCCCATCCCTGTACCTCACCTCTCCCTCTTCTCTTCATCCAGCCTCCAGCGGCTGTTTCCTTATTGTCAGGATGTTCATCATCAAGAGTAGGGATTAAAAAGATATATTTATGGTTATTATGAATAACCGTGTTGTTTGTTGTTGTTGTTGCTGTTGTTGTTTCGTTTTGTTTTTTGAGCTCAACATTTTGGTCTAACTAGTGCTCAGAGGGTAGAGATACCCTAACAATTCAATTAAAACTTTTGGTGACAATATTTACACTTGCGTCAGCGCTTGTAATGCCCAGGATCTATGCCTTGCTTGCAAATGCATTGAGCGAGATGACGAATATATTTGATTAGATACTTTCATCGTTCTACCTGGCTGTAGAGTTTCAAGTCAAATATCGGGTTGGTCCGCACAGGTAGGGTCTAAGTAAACCGTCTCCTAAATATCTAAATGTTTTTTAAATAATAACGACAATGGCAATGACAAACCTTATTCATCTACGAGGAATATATGTTGCCTTTGTTGTTTGCAACGACGGTGTTAATACAAAGCCCATATTGAGCACTCACGATTGCACACAACTAAAAAGGACATAAATGTGCAACATTCATCATTGCCTTTCTAATCCTAGATCAGGGAATAGGCCACCAACAAACACTTTTAACATTTCCCTATCCAAGACTAGTCTCTTGGTATTATTTCATGTCTTTGCACTTTTCTGTACATTATTCTTTGCGACACTACTCCGGGATAAGCTTGGCCTTTCGCCTTGATCTCTTACGCTGTGGATTCCAATCAAACTTTGTTTCTCAGCCGCCTGGCTTCCTGATAGTACATGTATATGCACATCCGATCCAAAGCCACCACCCTCCTCCTATTTCATCTCCGACTGGGTTCTGTCTCATTCTCCTGAACACTTCCTCGAATGTGACCCTGTCTAGCCATACATACATTTTGATATCACGATGACATAAACACTAATTAGTCAGTCATCGTTACAATGCATCTAATTATCTCATATGCTCAGGTGGCTTCAGCGGAGGGCGTCAAGATCACTGAGAGAGACATCCATGTGGACAACGGCTACGTTCAGGGCATTGACGGCATCATGGTACCCCCCGAGGGCGACATTGTCGATCTGGTGACCAAGAGATCTGACATGAAGACTTTGGGCTTATTGCTTAGTAAGGCTGGTCTGATAGATGTCATTAAAGGTGGGTTAACATGCATGTAAGTCAGTTGTGATGTAGTTTTAATTAATTCTTTATGAGAGTCACCAAGCACTTTTGGTGGATTTTAAGCGCTATACAAACTGACGACAACGACAACGACGACAACGACGACGACGACGACGACGATGATGATGATGATGATGATGATGATGATGATGATGATGATGATGATGATGATGATGATGATGATGATGATGG